ATGTGACACCAGCTGCTTAATGTTTTGGTTAAAAGCATTTTAAGTGAAATGCAACGCATTCGCACAGACAAGCACAGACGCACACACACACACACACACACACACACACACACACACACACACACACATCCATACATACATATACATATATATATACTCGAAAGAAAGCCGCTCCATTGCACGTTGCCGGTTTTTTGGGAAGCCGCTGCTACTCCACAATAACTCAACGCGTTTTACTAGCCGCAAAGCAAGAAGGCACAGAGCACACACAGAGCACACACACACACATGCGCACGTACACTCTTGGTAGCAATTTGCTTAAGCGAAAGGTTACAACATATGAGCCAAGCTATTCGTAAAAAAAGGAACTGCGAAACAAGCCCCACAGCCCAAAACTCTGCCTGCAACAAGCATTGGCGAACTTGCAGGCAAGTGTGCGCGCACCATGGTAGAATTTTAAAAAACAACCAGCAAAAATACATATATACGATGTGCTACACATTTTTTCTTAGAGATTGACAATCTTAGATATAGAACATTTTGACTGACAACTACTTACTCATTTAAATTAATCAGTATTATTATTAAAACATACAGCAAATAGAGGACAGTTTACAAATAAATTATCTCACATTACGAGTTCCTTTACAAAAATCAATCACTAGCTACTGAACATAACCTGATATTTAATTATTAAATGCAATGACTCATAGATATTCCTAAATAGCAAAAGTCGTACTTATGCCTTCAAGGAATCAAATCATTCGAAATTGCAGCAATATCTGAACCGAACTCTTAAATATAGAGCAAACGACTTGACTTGTATTTCAGTTTAAGCTCTTTGATTTAGCGAAACACAAGAAAAAACTATTAATACTAATACAATCCAAAATTTCTGATTAACTAAGATTTCTAAAAAGCTGTCGTAAGCACCCCCTTTATGATTTATTATAGTATATATATTCTTGAGCAGCATGACACGACGAGTCGTCTGTATGTATGAACACCTGGATCTCAGAGACTACAAGAGCTAGAGACATCAAATTTTGCACAAAGATACCTTTTTTTTTGATTTTCCGCCCTATGGGGGATTTTCCGATTTTCCGTCCGATTTTCCTATGTCTCGAAGACTATAAGACCTAGGGACATCAAATAGGCCCCACGGCCAATACGTAACTTGAAATTGGGTGAACCAAAAAGTTATTTTTTTTTTATTTTTTACATCTTTTTACAATTTTTTTTTTTTGGATTTTATTTGTAAAGCTTGTTTTAAATCGCTTTCCTCCTCACGACAGTTACGCCTTGCCGGCCAAGTAGTAGTATTTGTATTTTTTCCTCCTCTTGGGGGGAAGGGAACCCCTTTTTCTTCTGTGGGTGCGACGGGCGGGTTGCTGCCGTGCGGCGGTTGGCTGGCTGGTTGTTGAGCGTTTCTTTGTAGTTGTTTTTAACAACTTGGTCTTAAAAGTGTTGGTGCTGGTTCTTCTGCTGATGCTTTAAAAACATCATTCTTGGGGGTCCGCGGCGCTTGGCGTGGTTCGAACCCAGGGAGCACTATTCAAGTAGCACTTTGGACCGTTCATGACGCTGGTGGCACTAAGATCGTAACGCTCAGCACCACCAGCGCCGAAATATAACTGTGCTATTTGTCTTTATTAAGCTGCACTGAAAAATGTACAGCATGAAATAAATATGATACAGTTGATAGTTTTTTCATTTGTTTGCTTATAATTCACAAGTAGTTAAAAACAGTTCTGAGAAAATCGTATAGATTTGAGAATTGTCATCACAAATGCATATACATATGAATAATACTTAAATACGTATTATTTTGCGGGACCAGAAAAAAGGCAGAAGGAGCTGTTGTTGTTGTTGTTGTTGCTGCTTTGCACAGGCACATGAGACATATATAGGCATGCATAATTATTCTACACACATTGCACAGAGTATTTCAAAGTCGAGACACCCGAGCATAGCTTCTCCATTTACTTTGGTCGTTTAATTTGATGCACATATTATATTTAATTGCATAAAATATGGATTGATCTTAAATAACAAATCGATTTCTAACGCTTTAAATACAAATATAAAATATTTTAATTAAGCGACTATGAGGCTTAAAACAAGAAAGTGCAAAATTCCTTATATAAGTGCAATACTTGTAGTTTCTTCTTAGTGCCAGCATAGGCCGATTCTAAAGCTGCGATCTTAGTTTAAACTAAACATTTATCGCAGCATTATTTACTGTTTTATTTCCATTCATGCCCATGGTAGCTTGTTAATCTCAGAATGCAGCAGCAAAAGCAACAATAACAACAACAACAACAACGATAGCTACAACAATGAGTGGCACAACAACCCCAAGAATAACAACAAGTAGCTAAGGCGCAACATCATCATTCATTTGCGCTCAGGTGCGTTTTCGTGTGCACTTTTGGGCGCTCGCACACACACACACACACACACACACACACACACACACACACACACACACTATGTAGATATGTATGCGGGCACGAAAAACTGTGCAAAACACACATACAAGCGCAATCCGAAACACAAACACACCCACACCTTTACCTCCCTCTCTCCATACACGCATAGTTGGCGTTTAGTTGTGCATATTTGCGTTTTCTTTTTGGGGCTGCTGCGTACTTTGCGGCGCTTTTTTTTTTTTAATCTTTCCATAGACGTCGTCGACGACGACCACGACCACGACGATGAGGATGGCGATGGCGATGACGATGACGTCGACGACTGTCGCAATGTTGCCCACAAGCAATGAGGGTAATGTAAGTCAGGCGACGGCAACTACCCCACAGTGCAGAGCACTGAGCTCCAAGCCAGCCATATCCGATTCACTAGCTACCACTAGCTACCACAATGCACTGCCTATTGCAACAGTGTGACGAAGTAACGAAGGCTTTAACTACGACCTGCTCGACCAATAATAAGTATCTAATTTTAAATAGGTTAAATTAAGTTAAATTTCTAATCCAACATCCTAAACTAAGGACCTGACAGACTCCGAAGTAAATGCCCTATTCTGCGAATATAGTTTTAAGTTATTAGCAGTTTGTCATTTCAATCAGAGACTGTAATCATTAGAAGTGTTATTATAAATATTACATAATAATGATTCATTTTTTTTAATTATTTATTCTCTCACAATATAATGATTAATTTTGAATTTTTCTTTACAACTCAACCAGGAATCATAAAACAATGATTATTCTTTGTATATTGTAAGAGAATGAATAACAATTGAAATTTTTAAATCATGGTGAATATGCATAGATAATCCTAAAAAATTATATTGGTATGATCTTCGTTTTCTTAAAAAAATAATAATAATAATAATCATTATTTGCGGTCCCTGATTCCAATTACTTATATCTTCCATCGCGAATTTGGTTCAATTGAAGGCACATATAGCGACCTATAGAACTGCAGGGCACTCACATACATACTATGCTCGTATTCAGATGTAAGTAGACTCACATATGTATGTACATACATATGCACTATACGTGCAGTTATCATTCTGCATATTCAGCGACGTGCTTGGCAGCAGACATCCTCCCATCTGTTTGTTATTCTTATAACTTATGCTTGAGTTAGTTGCCTGAGTTCCCCGCTCAACGCTCGTCACACTCGGCTCAGTATCGTGGCGTTGTTTGTTGTTTTGACTAAATTATACAAATATACTATTATGCCCAAGTTCCAATACGTTGCCCTTGATCGGACTTATCTTAAGAAAAATAAATATGCTGGGCGTAATGGATAAAGTTTGAAGAACTGGAAATGTTGTCAAATAGTATGTGTACTAAGCATAAAAAAACAAAAGAGTATAATAATTATTTGATTATAGAAATTTTATAATAATTATTAGTCAGGGAGATTCAAATAATATAACACATTTATTCAACACACAATAAAGGAATACAAGTTATTATTTTTATGTATTTTAAGCAAGTAAAAGGGTGACAGATAATTGCTGACGAAGACTCCAAAATGTGTTGCATACTTGTAGGCTGCGCAGTAAATCGCCTTTGAAGTCGCAAAAAATGATTGTTTTTCATAAAAATGATCGCTTTAACTGATTTCGATTATAGTTTACACACAGCATAAAAACCAATTTTTTAATTAGAACTACGAAAAAAAAGATAAGATATTTATAGTCGCTTTCTTATATCTGCAAACAGACCTATAGCTTCGTTTTATGATGATTATTTATGGCTGATAGAAAAACAATTGCTAAAAAGAAGTGTTAACAAGAATATGGGGGCACACCGAAAATGTATACACTCTCTCTCTTAATCAGTAAACCATTTTACATGGAAATAATTTGTTTACTATATTTATATTGTTGGGTAACTCCAAATATTATAAACTGCTTTATATTTTCTATGAAATGGAGTCTAGTTTGGTTTTAATTTGCAACAAAATAGGTATATCTATACATAGTTGTATTAAATTGATCAACTTAAAGGGTTGTGGTCAATTATGACATTTGATTTGCATTCAAAAAGTATTGATTATTCAATCTACCTTATAATTATTATAAAAAAGAAAATGAAGCGATTTATTGCACTTAGTTTCGACCTAGTTTTAGGTATATTATGCACCTATTGATTACATTTTTGAACATTAATCAAAGATTCTTCACTAAAAAGTGTATACAGCTGGTGGAGGAATGAAACATTTCTTCTTTAATAAATTGTTGCTGCCCGTCTCAGTCATTGAAGCTATCTTAATGACTGATTGATGAATTTTTTGATAGTACATGCGGCCACTATCAATGAAATACGAATTGTTGAATTATCTCTTTCGGTAGTTTATGGAATTAAACATATTAATTTTTATTTTTCAATGAGTTATTGTGATAGCAACCTCTTCACAGCCAGAATAAAATATTTTCGCGGCTGTTCTTACGTGGAGACAATCGCGGAGTTAGTTGTTGTGGCCAGTAGCAGTTTGTGTTTAGTTGACGCGAGTGTGTCATGGCTAAGAAATATCTATGCCGTCATAAGATCCTCGGCGGTATTGTCAGTCTGAAGCTGTGTCTTCTGCTTTTCCTGCACTATCGTTTCAATGTCCTCCCAATCCACAAGCAACAACAGAGCTCGGCGGTGATCGAAGAAGAGCTGCTTATTGATAGACGCAGGGGTGAGTGCTGATGTGAATATATTCTAAGCTTTTCTGAGTGGATTCGTATTTTGTTGCCACAGCACCAACATGGAAGAAGCGTCTGCAATGGATTCAAGAAGAGCTGCCCTCCTACCCGTTGGCTGAAATGTTGCAAATGAAGCCACAGCACAAGAAGCTGGCGTGCGCACCCCTTACGGAGGAAATCGAGTTCCACAACGACTACTGGCAAGTGGCGCGTGCTGGAAACCTCACCTACTACCTCTTTGGTGCTTACTATGATCGCAGAGAGACGGTGCCGAGGGCACCACTCGTGCGCCTCCTGGTCATGGTAAATGAACGCGGCGATGAAGGTGCAACATATCCCATTACGCATTGCCAGCTGTGGTTCAAGACACGCAACAAACCGCTTATAGTGCCCGTGCACGAGCACAAGGTGGTGTGGCATTGGGGTAAGAAGCCGCGTCTCTACTATCCCACGCTCATGGCGTGCGCAGTGCCTGTGGGTGAGGTGCCCGATATGGTGTCGCTTGTGGCGCAACGCTGTGACAGAGCGACCAACCTGCTCAAGGTGGTGTACGAGCCACCGACACCGGAGCAGCAGCAGCAGCAGCAGCATCACCAGGACGGAGGGAATCGCCGTCCACGCTTTGTTGTCTGCGTCAAAACCATGGATTTCTTATACAACGATATGTCCTGGCGTTTAATCGAATGGCTGGAGCTGATGCGCTTGTTGGGCGCTGATAAGGTCGTCCTCTATAATGGGCCCATGCATGCGAACATGACGCGTGTGCTTCGCGATTACATGGAGAACGGTTCAGGATTCGTCGAGCTCCGTTCGCTATCCTTGGGCCGCGGAGAGCCAAATGTGCCACCACACCTACACCACTTCTTGCTGGCGCGGGACTACTTGAATCGCATCCTCAACGAAATGATACCCTACAACGATTGCTTATATCGCAATATGTATCGCTACGATTACATTGGCGTCTTTGACATTGACGAGGTCATCATGCCGCTCGGCAATGTAACCAACTGGGCGGACCTAATCCAGTTGGCCCACCACGTGCCCGACTACATGAACCGCACCAGTCCAACGTGCAGCCAATGGGTGAGCTTCTGCTTCCGCAATGTCTATTATCCCCGCTATGAAGGACGCGCCAAATATTTTCATCAACTGCCCGCCTACTTCTATATGCTGCAGCATGTGGAACGCACCGCGCAATATTGTGATCGAACATTGGCGACAAAGTGCCTGCATTCGACCCGCTACGCAATTGGACTCCACAACCACCTCCCCCTGCACTGGACAGAAGAGGCGTGCTGCGCCCCCAAGTCGGTGCCCATTCAATACGCCCAGATGCAGCACTACAGAGAGCCTGACAACAAGACCTGGCTGCTAGATCCTGTGCTGGATGATAACATCTGGCGCTTTCAGCCGCAGCTGCAGCAAAACACTTTGGCCAAGTACAAGGAGTTGGGCTTCCTGCCGAGCGCAAATGAAAATGGCTCCTGAATATGGCCATTGAGGTGCCCTGATTCTGGCTGGAATGGAATGCAGGATCTGACTTGGTATTAAAGGAAGTAATAGGATTATAGGAAGTATTATAAGTAGTATTAGTAGGAGAATTGTAAGTAAAATTATAAGCAAAATTATAAGTAGTATTATGGTAGTATTATAAGTAGTATTATTGGTAGTATTATAAGTAGTATTTATAGTAGAATTTTAAGTAGCATTATAAGTAAAACTTTCAGTACTCTTAGGGTAAAACATTACAATGGGATTTTTGTTGATAGCTGCTGGAATATTCAAGAACCTGCAGGCCCAGTTGGACTCCTTCCTGCCATACCTTTGCGAAGACTACAACAATTAGGATTTTTCAAAACAATTAGATAAGCACAAGCCACCATTTACTTATTAATCCTCGCGCGGATGTGCTCGAGGTAAGGCTATTTATATTTATGAACATGTATTGTTAAGCTGCTAAACCTGCATGTACGGATTAAATTCTTATGTTAAACATAGAAAAAAAAGTAGTAGAATTATAAGCAAAATTATAAGTAGTATTATTGGTAGTATTATAAGTAGTTTTATGGTAGTATTATAAGTAGTATTATTGGTAGTATTATTATTAGAATTATAAATATAATTTTAAGTAATATTACAAGTAAAACTATGAGCTGGGCTTATTATTGATAGCTGCTGGAATATTCAAGAACCTGCAGGCCCAGCTGGATGAACCCAACTCCTACTACTACTACACAGCCGGACAGATGGAGATCGCCTTGTCCTGGCAGCTCTTTTGGAAACTGAAGAACTGAAAACTTATCGATAACAAACTCAATTATATTTTCTGCATGTGAACTTAAAAGCCTAGTCAGCAAAATGGTATAAAATTCTCTCTGAATACGTGTTGGAAACTAGGTAAATTATAAGAACAGCACTATTATGGTTGTTCTTCCAAACAATTTAAATTTTATTTTAACCCGAAATAAATTATTTTGCACTTTTTCCAAGTTCATCTGATTATCGGTTATTTGAGTGCCCTAAGATGGTATGCTTTAAATCAAAAATTGTGTTCAAGCACTAGCTTGCCTAACTACGAGTATTTGAAAGTATTTGAAAAAGAAAAAAGTAATTTTTTAAGCAATGGTAAAACTTTTTACAATTTTTTTTGTTAAGACTGCTGAATAGTATAAGCATATAAATGTATCGTTCTGTTGATTTTAAAAACAAACAAAGTGTTATTTCTATATCTTAGTGAAGGCAGATGGCATACTATATAGAAGTATGTTATAGACACAGAGAATCAGATAAGTGCAATCTGTTGTTCACAAGTATTCGCTGATTTCTGGCCTTTATTCAAATTTATTTTGCGCCTAAAAGCTGTCGCTTTAACGCGCATCTTATCGCTGTTAGTTAACAGTGGCGGTCGCATTGGTTCCTCGGCTGTTCCGTTACAACAAGTTGCGCTGTAAGCTTGCTGTAAATGTAAGCTGTCGGATTGGCGGTCGAGCAAACAGGCTGCCCATTATGCTTACGACTTCCGCAGCGATAAGAGCCGACATTGACGACGCGGACAGAATGTCTGCCATCGTTTCAAGCCAACAGACATTTAAAATTTTTTTTTTCCATTTTTTTGTTTTTAATGTTTACTATATTTTACTAACAGGTGTACTCCTATCTACAATATTTTCAAATAACTACAGAATCAGCTTGAAGAATATAATTCAATAAAAGAATTGCATTTGTATTAATTTTTATTTCTTAGCATATTTAAGGCCTGTATGACTGATTCTGGCCGTAACCGCAAAAAGTGCAATACCTTTTCAATTGAGCATACATTCCTGTGTTAAATGCCGACATGTGCGTAAATTTTGTTCACTTTTTGTTACATTTTAAAAAAAATGTAATTTAAATATTTTATAAATAATATTCGCGTTCAACGAGCGCACTTCTAATTAATTGCATTGCTTTTTTGTGCAACGCATGCCACAAAAACAACTACACGCAAAAAATCTAACAAAGCAAATATTAAAACAAATGTGCAAATGACAAATTAATGATATGAACAAATGAGTGAACATGCAAATTATGTGCTTATTCGTATTAACGGCCTGCGAGAATCAGAACAGAATTAAAATAAATAAACGAGTGAAAATAATACGATGATTTTAGTTGAAGCTATAATGTCGATTAGAACATTTTTTTTTTTAGAAGTTCAGCTTGCTTATACGCATGTACATAGTATATATACGTATAAGTATATATATATATATATATATATATATATATATATATATATATATATATATATATATATATATATATATATCTATATATATATATATATATATATATATATATATATATATATATATTGTGAGACTAGGGATAATCCTAATTGATGGCGGCAAAATCTGATCTACTGATACAAAGTAAATGCTAAATAGAATCAAAGGCAGCTGATTTAATTAAAACAGTAACATATGAGTATAAGCGCTGAAAAAAAGCTTCAATTAATGGTGTATAGCTAATAATACATAGATGCTTGAAAGCTGTGATATAAAACTACGAGAAAGTTTTTAGTCCCAGAAAAGCTGAAGAACTAGCGCCGACTGAAACCAGACTAAACGATAAACGATTGAGTTTAGTATTAAGATCCACAAATTATAGAAATGCTGCTAGAGTCGGAAAAAGGAATATTTGTAAATCAGGGATGGGTAAAGAAATTGCGCAATTCAATTAAAGCCAACAATTCGTGGTGCAATGTTTTTGGAAGTTCTGGCTCTGTACATGGCTATCAAGTCATAAGTGACAAGGAAAGCAGCTGCCAAGTCGGATCCTTAAACGCAAGCAGTTGTTAATGTGTGGGTGCTATTTTGGTTTTTGCATTCCACTCTAGCAATAAATACTTTATACCCACGCTATATACTAAATGGATACGGACGATATGAATGCTCCGTTTTGGGGCAGCGCATAAATTCAGGTACCTTTTCCTTCGGTTAATATTTTATTGTTTTGCCTCTGCCAGTGCAAAATCTTTTACCCAAGCGCTAGTATTCGTGTATTTGTTGTTGTGTGTGTGTGTGTGTGTGTGTGTTGGTGTGTATTCAAAGCGATTTATGTGCTGCCAATAAATTTACTCAACACTTTTGGGCCAACTAATACAATATTTACATTAAATTGCTGGTAATACATGTGATGCGGGAGTCGGCTTGGAGGCTGGGGGATGGGGGGCTGGCGGATGTCGAAAACATGGCAAATAAAAAATTGCAGTGCATATTTTTTAGCTTAGTTTGCCGCCTGACCGACAACGTACGACGGACGACGAACGACGAGCGAACAAGAAGGAACAGGCGAGCCAACGCCACTTGGCACTTGCCCTTCTCTGCTTCCCATTGGACTGTCATTTAAGTTAAAAGCGCATTTGTAAATGTGTTGGCTGTCGGCGGACTAGGGGGTTCAATTGTGGCCCAATCCCTGCGCATTACTATACCCTTCGGCCAAAAAGGGGCATGGGGCATATCAGTTGGAAGGTTGTTTCGTTATGAGCCTCTAATGGTATTAAATGATGCATCCTAGTATTCGGATTTAAGGTATTTTTTACATTTTTCATTAAGCTTATTTTATTTCTTTTTGTTAAAAACCTAAACAATTTTACTTTGTTTACACAATGCTTACAAAATTTATGTGTGAATAGAAATTATGCCAAATTGTTTATAAAAATTAAATGTACTATATATGTTTTAATCAAATTGTCAATATTTGTGTAAATCTACGGTCAGACATGCAAACAATTTGCACACAAATTGTTATTATTCAAATGTATGCTTTACATATTGAATTCTCTGGAGGTTTTTTTTTTTTTGAACTTTAAATCTAATTCAGATTCTGATTGGTTTTAATTGACGCTGCTTTTAGGAAATGCATTAAATTGGCGTGCAAATTGTTTGCGTGTCCGACCATAGCTTAGGTGTGTTTTTGTAAAAACTAATTGTCTTCTAATAGAAATATAGAAGCATTTGCACCAAATTTGAAGAGTATTGTTTGGTCGAGTGTGCTCGACAGCATTTCTATATCTTGTTTTAAAAGCAAATCTGGCACACGCAGCACACTTCTTCGCTTCTTTTGCGCATTTTACGTCTGTTGTATAACGTTTTAGCATTTTTCTTTCGGTGCGCAGCTCTTGGCACTTTCATAGGGGCGTTAAGTGTTAAGTGGGTGGGCGTGTTGTATGCACGCACAGTCTGGTATTCTGGGCACTCTGGCAGGCGCTAGACTTGTCAATTGTTGCCATTTTTTCATGTTCCCCTTTCCCTTTTTATTGGTTTTGATGCCACGGTTGGTCTGTCAATGGGTCTGTGCTGGGGACAGTTTGACAGCTTGGGGACTTGGCTGCTTCTGCTTGTATTTTTTTTTTTTTTCGTTTTTTAAATTGTTCCATAATCTTTAGGAATCAAAAGCATATAAAATTTGTGCTTTGATTTGTTGTCGCGCTTGGATGTTTTTCGTGTTCCATTCATCCTAACCCATTTTAAATTTATGACAAGCCATAAGGAACAATATTTGGGGATGCTTCAGAGCTGTCAATTCTTTATCAACAGCAAACAAATTAGAAAGGACGAACAATTAAACTTGTGTCGGTATTTTGATTGACTTTTGTTTTGTAAGTAGTTAATAGACTAGAACTTGCTCGTCAAATTAAAATTTAATTGAATAGCTATCCATTAAATAACGGTCACTTATTGACTAAATAAAAACAATGATGAATTCGCTGTAGAAGTGGTGCTTATATATGCGCTCTCAATTGATAAACCTATATAGATGTGTTACACTAATCTTTTGTTTGGAATGGAATAAAGAGGCTAGGAAGTTCAACCCTCAAGCTACATTCTATTTCTTATCTGTTGAATATGTTGGATCCGAGTCCAACAACAGCTCTATTTGTTAATCTTTGCTTAAATTATTTTGAATGCTTTAGCTCATGACGAGTAAAACGCTAAAGTAGCGCAAGTCCGACTCTTATCTACCCTTCTCCCCAGCGAAGACTTTGTGCTCTTACAGCTTCAAACTTCAGATTATGAAGAGTCGGCATTAAACATAATAATTTCCAACTTTAGTTACGATATCTAGCAAAATAGTTACTATGCAAAGAGTGATTTTTGAACCGATCGGTGTCATGGCAGTAATATAAAATGGCCTCACTATATTAATGTATTTGATTTGTGAAAAGCTTAAATTGCGTATAGATAAGACAAATCTATATATATAACAAGTTTGGTGTACCTAACTGTTATGGTTGAGAAAGTATCGGTGTTCATACAGACAGACATGTATCCATTCGTCTCGTCCTGCTGCTAATCATATAAGTATTATGTGTTCCATGCCACCTGAACCCCACAGTTACAGGGTAAATAAAATCAACTAAGACTAACATATGTAATTCAAGGGGCAAAGTACAGGTACGTACTTATTAATTTTTTTAACTACAATTAAGGGAAATGTGGAGGTGTAAGGGGATGGATACGACATGCGCTTTGCCCAAAGATAAATATATAATATCTAATAATATATCTAATATTCAAGGCAGCGACTGCTTTTGTTTAAATAAAATAGAAGATTTATTCTCGCCTCGAACGCTCATCAACTTTTGTTGCTGTCTCATAAATTTGAAGTGTTGTTCAACCGAATAATTATGAGCCGGGCATCGCTTGGCCACACAACGAAACAGAAACAGAGAAAATACATACATTTTACTAAATATTGTTTGTAGTTTGGCTGTAGTTTGTTTTTGTTGGTGTTTTTTCACTTGGTTTTCATTTTTGTGATGTTTTGAAAAACAAAAAAAAGAAAACAAAAAAGTGACTGTAATAAGTTTGTGCAAAAAAGTTTGCGCAGCTTTTTGAAGTGCAGCTAATAAGAAATGCGTGAAGTGTTGCCACAGTGCGTGTTATATGTATTTGACTTTGTTTTCATAGATGTGCGTGTGTGTGTGTGTGTGTGTTTGTGTGGGTTGGCTGCTGTAAATATTTATTTTGAAACTTTGCAAGTTCGACTCGTGCACACACGTTTCTCGGTCGGTCAGTCAGTCAGTTTCCACCTCGGCATTGCGCATTTTTCCTTCTACTGCTACATTACATTTGTTTGCTTTTGCCCGTTTTTCCCCATACCCCCAGCACTTCTAGCTATTTTCCAAAGTCAATGTGAAGCTTTTCAGCAACACCAACCAAAATTTTGCTCACGTTCCGTTGCTGAACAAATATAGGAATATTACACACACACACACACATACACAAACACAAATATATAGTATGTACATATGTGTGTGTGTGTGTGTGTGTGTGGGGGCCAAGTCATATTAGTAACAAAGTTCACATGCGGTACATAATCAGTTGCGAACATTTTAAACGTACAATGCGCTCGGGTCGAGTACTGTAAGGTTAATGGGAATTGAGGTTAGGTGACACATTTGGACGTGCGTTTGGGTCGACAAAGGTAGCAAATGGCACAAAAGTATAATTTAGCCATAGCTATAAAGCTATCGAGACTGCCTGTCAACGAAATCCGCAATTCATCTGCGCAAAAACAAAAAATAAAAAATTGATTACCGTCGTGGTCGTTTTAGACCTAGATTTAATCAACATCGAATATAATGCTGCATTAACAATACCTATGTACTATAGCTTCTGCTAATAAGAACCTCTTAAATAAAAACTTTACACCACAACGTAAATGGTATTATTGATAAAAAAAATGATTCTGAATTACTTAGAATTCTCCCAAAGCGGATAGAGCCGTTCTACTACTTTGATCTTGATCTTCTTCATTGCTCATCAAGCAGCAGACTCAGTTGCTGGACAAAGCACGCTATTTATCTATTTATTTTATATTTTTGTGTGCCGATTTTGGACACATATTTCGCATAATATTGAACCAAACAATTCCACCTCTTTGTCAAACTAAAATTCTGAATGTTCTATAAATACAAATAATTGAAGCAAAAAATTCAGCGCCAGCCAGTGTTGCGAAAATCGATTTTTTATTGTGCCTGGCAGCACTGTGTGTGTGTGTGTGTGTGTGTTTGGGAGAAGCCTACAACTAACTACTTAGTAGTTCTCGCCATTGCCGTCAGAATTGTGCTGTTGCCCATTTGCTACAATCTCCAACAAAATCAGTTCACATGAGCAATCAGTTTAGTTAGTAATCCCATTCTATATCTATTTATTCAGCTTGAGCGAGCGTGTTTAAAATCCTAAAACATAAATCAGCTTATTTCATTTCGTGAGGACCAAGGAGCAGCAGATTATATCAAAGGCAATCGCATTGACAAGATACTTTTTAGAGAGTAATCGGCATCTATATATACCATATATACATACATAAATATTTAGCTACAAATGTAAGTATAGTTGCGGTGTGTTTTCGTGTGTGTGTTTGTGTGTGTGTGTGTGTCTGTAGTAAAGAATTTGTTGTATTTGCATCCTCAGTGCAACAACGAATGATCATTACGAGCAGGTATTGGACATGTATCCAACGAACTTCTACAAAATGAAGAACTTCGCCAATCCCAAGACAATGTTCAAGTCGTGCTCCAACAATGATGAGTTCTCCACAGAGCCTGTGGGCAGCAGCTGCACTAAGGTCTCCGCTTCCAAGACTTCCAATGCCAAAAATTCGGCCGGAGGTCAAGGCAAGCAGGGCAAAGGCAAACAAGGCGGTAACCCGTCCAAGGGTGGCAAGAACAAAAACAACAAAGCTGGCAACAACACTGTCACAGCCAAAGTCGCTGCCACAACCACTGCAGCTGGCGCTGCGACTGCTCCCGGTGTTGGTGGCACCAAAGCCAACCTGGATGCTGGTGCTGTTGCAATTCCAATCAGCTCAGTCCCTGGCTCGACACGTTCGCTGTCGTGCGACTCGAACACGGACTCCGTGGCCACTGTACCGCCGAGCGATGGCACCGTTTCTGGGAATGTCAGCTCCAATGAGAATGACAGCGAAACAGCTGGGAGTGCAAATCTGTCGTCGGGCAGTGAAAACAAGTCGGTGGAGTCAGCGCCCCATCATCCGCTGACCAACACTTGGACCTTGTGGTATCTGGAGAATGATCGCAGCAAGACCTGGGAGGACATGCTGCACGAGGTGACCAGCTTTAATACTGTTGAAAACTTTTGGAGTCTCATCAACCACATTAAGCCGCCGTCTGAGATCAGGCTGGGCAGCGACTATTGTATGTTCAAGAAGGGCATACGCCCCATGTGGGAGGATGCGGCCAATAAGCAGGGCGGCCGTTGGGTCATCAATCTGAGCAAGAACACGAAGAGCGACCTTGACAACTTCTGGCTGGACACCATGTTGTGTCTGATTGGCGAGTGCTGCGACTACTCTGATCAGCTCTGCGGCGCCGTCGTCAATATACGTGGCAAGAGCAACAAGATCTCTGTCTGGACAGCCGATGGTAGTAACGAGGTGGCCGCCTTGGAAATCGGACGCAAGTTGCGCGAGTGTCTGCGCATGGAGGGTGTCTATGTGTTACAATATCAGCTCCATATGGACACTATGATAAAGCAAGGATCGACAGTCAAGTCTGTCTATACCATGTAGAGTATTCGAAATCTACAATCGTCATCTCATACAGCAATCCAATTAATAATATGCGTACAGCACACGGATTGTTTCCTAATGATCCCAATTCAAATTTTTGGTATATCAAATGCAGTATCGTTTCAAATTATCTGTTTTCCAACATTCTATCATACAAAATAATGTGTTCCGAGTTCTATAAAATTTGAAAATTTATCTCTGGTTAGAACACAGTTATTTCTTTGCTTTCGCCGTTTCTTACCAAAACAGAATTGCCACGAATTCTTCAGTGTGACCGAATGTTGAAATTAACTGCTGCTGGCAATGAAATATCAATCGATATACATGCTTGTATATTGCTCAGTTAAGCAGTAGATGGGATCATATTTCACATTACAAACCAATGGTTAGATAAAGCTACATACTTGTATATTTTTTATTTGTATAGTTGAAATTTAATGATCATTCAACTATCGATAACCAATATCGATTGCTTGACAGCTTTATTTAGAGATGCCATAAGTTATCGTATAGGGTCGATTAGTTACAATATTGAAGCTAGATCAAGTATATTAGTTAAATATTTATTTATTGAAGCCTTCGGTCAATTTTATTCCTGCATTGTGCAGAAAGTAGTAGAAGTAGGACTAATCTCTCACCCATTAAAGAGTCGGACATTTTATAGACAACATTAAACCTGACTTCATGTTTCAAATATTTGCGTACAAAATCAATTCTACTGCATAATTATAGGTCTGCGACTAAGTGTGGGAATGCGTGCACCGTCAGGGGCTAAACAATTCGCAAATTGACGCCATGTCTGGTTAGAGCTGCCACTAAACTGAATGCGAATTCCCAATTTGGCTGTCGGCCGAAATGCGATGCTAACCGCAACGCTAAAATCCGCTCGAACTCAAATTGTCAACAATGGGCGACCTCGGCCCCAGTTCCAGTGACCCCATTCGGGGAAAAAACTAGTAGAATCGCAGGAAGAAGTAAGAGAAATAGATAAGTAATGAGTGAAATTTGTAAATGCATTCGTGATGGTACACTCAAAAGAACAACAACACATTCTTCCAAGATTGAAAATGTCATTGGACTTGGCAAAAATTGACTTTATTCGAGATGAGTTTTATTTCCAATTTTTAGAAGATGTTTCTCTTATTATAAATTATAAATTTTTACTGAAATCAAGGGCGATTGACTGGTAGATTTGTTTAGTTTTTAGAGCGAAACCTGAAACCCATAAACTAACAGGATATGACTTGGATTTTCTTATAAATATTCCCTCTTCGTCTTGATTTTAAAGAGATGCTTCAAGTCAGATTTTCATATCATCATAGAAAAATATCGGTATTAATATATGAAATGGAGGCTTAAGAAATTAAATTATTAATTTATGGAGTAAATTGAACCCACAACAGAGCTTGGAGAGGGTAGCATAAAATCTATTTTAAATACTAAAAAGGGTGAATCAGAAGAAGAAAAAGAATGAAGTACTAGGGAATAATAATGCCAAGATTGGGTGTTTTTATCATCTTAAACTTTCCGAGATCCCTGCGTTTATACAGGCGGACATATATCGCTGTATACTAATCTCTCTAACGCACTATACCAGCACAACTTTAAATACATAGATGAAGTAGTATAAGAAGTTACGAAAAATGGGATTAAATTTAGAGAAATGTACGCACTTTTAGGGAAACACATATAGTTTCTACTCTTCGGATAATAATTTTGATTTCAAGATTTCTCAATATTTAAAAAAAATTAGTAGTGCATCGCAATTTAAGGAAAAAATTAAATTTGTTCTTAAAAATAAGTAACTAACAACATAAAATGTCTGCAACATAAAATATTCTTTTAGATTTAACTCCAATTTTATAAAATAGGTTAAGTAGGTTAATCAAACCGTCTTAAATTTATTTAATGAAAATTGTATGTTTCTTGTGACTAGTGCATTAATTTCTAAGCATTTTTTTTCTTTTCGCAGTAGAAAATAATAATAATAAATAAGTAAATAAATAACAAGAAATAATTCCCCAGCCTCCAGTAAACTTGTTGTTAGAGCGAAATATAGTAACTACTTTCCAGATACAAATTGTTGATTTCACCACCGTGCAGTATTTATAAATGTAGGCGCGATTTCGGGCACATTTTCTGAGTGTAGGGCTCGCAGCCATGTTCTACAAATCGCCATAAATGGGGCTTTGTTAGTTGTAATGCTGCCGGCGATTATCTACGAATATGTTAAGAAGACTTTAAAGAACAAATCGTGTATGTGTGTGTGTGTCTGTGCCGTTTCAGAATACATTCTGTTTATGTATTCATTTTTTATTGTCTGCTTTCAGAACGACTGTTTGGGGCCACATCGTTTGCCTTATTTGGCGCACAGCATCTCGAAACTTGGCCACGCGCTCAATTGTTTGATTTATTGACGTTTATTGGCAGTTGGCATTTTATGGTGACTATTTTGGACGCTACCGGCCGAACCGACAGCCGACATTTGGCAGTAAGGCTGCCAGCAGTCAGGCAGCCAGGCAGCCGGGCAGTCAGGTAGGTAGGTGGTGGTCCCATCGCACGGCCTCTTACATTCTTTTGTTGACCGTTCAGGTTATTGGCTAGCCGAATTCCAGCTGGGGGTTAAGCAAGTGCTCCCCCAATCCCAACCCCCCCTCCACCATCAGCAGGCTCAGGCCCTTGACCACTTACTTCCATTTGATTGGTTTTTATGTCCTTAATATTGGCTGTTGGTGCTGAGTTTATTGTGTATGGGAAGGTGTGTATGTGCTCCCTAGGTCTGATCCAACTATGGCGTACACTACAGTTCCAATAGATGTTACGCACTACATTGCATATATGGCTAATGGTGGCGACGGAATAGAAGGGTTTCACATCCAGTTAGTTGCGAGTAAATAATTCAAAGCACTTCTCTAAAGCCAGCCAGTAGTTAGTCTTCAAACCTCTGCTCACAATGCTCGGTGGTTGAAGAAATAGAAATATACTTATATATCAGACCTCCATGGCTTACACTTAAAGGTCAAGGCGGCGCATGGCCCCCTATAATACATCTCGACGACATATGTCTCGTATAAATATGGTCAACCGTATGTTGTATGAGCGGCAAAGGCAACGGCAACGGCAACAACAAAGGCAGCAACAGCAGCTACCAACTTATTTGGCGTTGATTTATGGCATTTAATTTCGTTTTATTGCGTACTCTGCGGGGTAAATAAGATGTAACTTCACCAAAAAAAAAAAAAAAAAACCCAAAAAAAGAAAGAAATGTTAAAGATTTGATTAAATACTAAGTAGCGAGCTATTTTACTTCGCTGGAAAGCCAGCTGGATTACACATTTTGGCTACTTTGTTCGAATTTTGTACATTTTCTGAGAACTTAAAGCGTCAACATATTAGCTTTATAGCCAATCGTTATATCCTTAAATCTTTTCAATTACAGAACAACATTACGAAAATTCCACTCGATAAATTATGTATTTTGAAAGCTCTCTTAGTAGATGGTGTTACCAATAGTAATGCCATAGAATTCTAATAAAGATTACAACTTCTAACAGAAACGCAAATTCAACTCGAAAATTAAATTCCATTTATTTATGAAATGAACAAAGAAACAAACAAAGCATTTGTTTTTCTCAAGCTATTTTTTCTGTCGACAAATACTGCAATTTATAAAAGCAAAGCCTGCATAAATTCCACTGAATTTTGATATGAAAATTCTATATAAAATTTCTTTATTTTTCATTAAATGGACTTATTTCTCATTCAAATAATGATTATTGAAATCATATGAACTTTTGAAAACTATTAGAAAACACTTCTATAGCTTTACTAAACTCTGAGCAAGAGTTAAATTTTATTTGGGATAACTAATTGTGGAAAGCTTTCCTTCTTTATTCGATTTCGCGAAGCCTAATTGCTCCTACTTGTATAATTAATTTACAGTATTTAAATAATTAATGAGTAGTTAAAACGAAAAAATGCCATGTGAACTTAAACTGGATTTGTCTTTTTTCTTGTCCTATTGCTTTATTTTTCATAGTCTTTTTTTCAAGTCTTTGAATTCATGTGGTTTTTACAAAATTAAGGAACTCAACATTTTGGCAAATGTTCTTAATTTCAACTATTTTTTATAGACACATTACATTTCTAGCTTGAATAAAGTACACTTTATTTGCCAAAGAACAACAAGTATTTTTATCACTTTTTTTTATTTATTTTGCTATATACGCCAAATAATTTTCCTAAAGTTAGTTTAATATAAGAAATCAGATTTTATAACCATATCTTGTCATCTGAGTGTAGCTTAACCTATTTATAGTGTTATTAAATATTAAAGTAAAAAATGGCAGGGAAAATATTTATAAAAAATTTAACGGAGACTTATTGAATTAGCTGGTACTTGACGAAAACTAGTCAGCACTAGAATAAATGCAATATAGTACTAGAACGATTTGTTTACGTAAAATGTACTTGTAGTGTATATTATTTAATTGTCATCAAAGCTTTATGTACATACTTTATTTAAATCGACAGTTTTTGTTTTTAAGAACTTTTAGAAAAAGAAAAACTATACATAAATAAACAATTTTACTACCCACTTGTTTTTCCTGTACATATGATTCTAGTTTATTTTATTATTATTATTATTATTATTATTTTTAATTAAAGAACGAAATGTTTCTGTTTAATGTTGAAATGCCGAAATAATAAGAAAATAAATGCAATGTTGTTAGCCACAATTGAAATGGAATTCGAAAGACGTGCAAGGAAAAGCCTAATTAATTATTATTGTTCACAGCTTCTAGCAAAGGTACAGTTATTTTCCTGCTATACTCTTATTATGATTATGAGGTGCGGGTAAGGTGAAAAAGAATTTAAAATCGATTCTGTTTTCCTATTAATAATCTGCATTGTGCAGCACGAAATTGTAGCAATAAAAATCCAATAAACATCGCATTGCATTTAAAGGAAATATGCACATACATTTGTATATATTTATATGTACAATATTTATTTTATTTATACATGTGTGTGTGTGTCTGGGAAATCAGAAGGACTATCTGCCACAATTCACTCTTGACTTACAGTTGCAAATCTTGGAGTTACATACTCCATGAAATATGCAAAAAGTGCAGACACAAAGTGCGAAAGGGAACATTTTTTACAATTGGTAGCCGCCACGCCATGCCACGCCCCGATCCGTCCCGTCCCGTCCCGCACGAGACGCAACAAGAGGAGAAAAGTAAGCATTTACCTTCAAGCTGGCTTCCAACTATACGTCAGGCAGGCAGGCACAGACACGTGTGTGGGGGGAAGTTGGGATCCAGGTGGCATTTGGCTTGTAAAGCATCGATTTACATGCGTCTCATATTGGGTGTGGGTGTGGGCGTGGGAGTGGGCGGGAAGTGTGGGGGGGGGGGGGGAAGGCAAAGTGTTGCGCATCAACGCCAACGCTCCACGTAGATATTTCAATTTATTTATTTTTATTTGCGTATGCAAAATAGTCGGCTTGATTTTGGTTAACGCTCACTCACACCCAGCGCCACATAAGCAAATATGGACAGACACACACACACCTACACACACACAATTCACTTCACCAGCACGAGTTCGAGATGAAATGCCAGACAGCGACTGACTGGCAAAGTAATCGTTATCCTTGTGGCGCCAGCCAGATGTTTAAGGCTTCTGTACTCGACTTAAAGTAGCCCCACTTGCAGACCAAGAAAGATTGGGCAGATTGGATGCCATGTCGACATACATCGTACCCTCTTCTCAAGCCAGTCAATTCAAATTATTAAGGATATTCAAATTTAATAATTCATGGGAAATCATTTGCCGACAAAATTTGTTTATTTATTCGCCCACAAAAATAGAGTAACAAAAAAATCTATTTGTTGTACAAGTATGAGTGTAGCATTGATGTTATTCTTTTTTGTCAAACGTTGGCTTCTTAGCGTACATAGAAGTGAAGAACAATTTGTCCAATTCTACAGACTTTTTCGCTCTGATATAAGTATACATATACCTATTTCTTTTTTAATTTTCTTTTCTACTTAGAAAAGGCTAAAATGATAAGGCTCCAGCAATTGATTCGTTGCCTTCTAAATAATTGGAAAAAAAATATTCGTAAATTGAAATAATTCTTATTTTTTAAACTTCGCTAAGTGTTTTTAAATCCAATCATCTAGCTCTAGATCGAAACAAGTATATCTATATACCTTGTTAGTTCTTAACCTTTGATGCTCCCTTTAAATATTACTCGTACATTAAAGAAAATGAATTTTCTCTACTGCCCATCAACTGAATCACTGAGCAAAATTATTCAAATGTCGATGAAAACTTTATTATTACACAATTAAGTGCTATTGTTAATTAACCAAAGCTAAGAACGAAATGACATTTGTTTAATACATCCATGCCATAGAAAATAATTGAAATAATAAGTACGAGCTCTTCAGACTGATCTGCAGCTGATCCAGAGCCAATTCCAAAGCATACAGATTGATCGGAATATTACTCTGATGTCAAAAATTTCAATTACAAAGTTTTGAAAATACTCGTGAAATATTGAATTATAACTTGGGATAGAGAAGCCGTAGCAAGAACTATAATAGAATACAACGTTCGTCAATTTAAAAATCAAGTTCAACGTTTATTAGACTCCTATAATCAGCTTCCAGTTTCATTTAAACATATGCAATGAAAGTGTGAAAATATGGTTTAACATCGATTAAAAACAAAAACAGAATTTTCGAAATTATCAAAATGTGCTTGGCATTTTAGAATTGAAAACAAACAATTTTCGAATTAAAGATAAACCAAGTATTCTTGAGTTTGGTCAATTATTGTTTTAACTTTTCAGCTAAATAAATAAATAACACTCATTTGGCCGGATATAGCTAATGCCTGTACTATGTAATTAGATAAAACTATCATCAATTTTCAGCCAATTAGAGCTGCCTTAGATGGAAGTTCGAATGCGCCAATTGGATTTACTTTTCCCAAGTGTAGTTTGACGCATTTCAAATTAATTTGTGTGAGCATATCTGATTAATTTCCAATAGACACCACATTTCCAAAGGCCATGAGCTCGGCATCATCGGCACTGCAGTGCTTCTCCATATCGAATTATACGGCGCGACCCGAAGTGCACAAATTGCAAATGCATGGAGGGAGGTCATAGCTATGGCCGTAGCGTTGTGGTCAACATCTGTATCGGCATCGGCATATTGCCTAAATAAGTCATGTTATAGCTGTCACTCATGGTGCGCTGGTGTGATTACCTCTGCTGGATGCCGAATGGTGCCTGTTTGCTGTCTTAACCAAAGTTCAACGTCCATTGCGAGAATCGACACACTATGTACATACATATGTACATACATATGTATATAGTACGTACTACATACTACAAACATATGCGTGTATACGAGTATACTCGTATACTTTGTATGTATGTGCTAAGCACTTTCCCATGACATGACCGATAGAATTTGTGATATGTGATGGCATTTTGTAAACATGCAGCAGCGCAATGTTTGCCAAAGTGTTAAAACTAATTTTGTTTCATTAATTAAATGCTGGTTCGATATACTCCTGTACTCCTGAGCTCCTCCAGCCCAACACTTCTCTGCATTCAAGGTGGCACAGTCTAGGGGACTGAAGAAAATAACAATTTAACAGTTTTCAACGGATTGCAATTTAGGTTAGGTTCTGAATGATAATTGAAATATGGCGTCGGAAGACGGCGCAGATGTGGAACAAGTTGAAAAGAAACACATTGCTTAAAAAAATGCATTGCAAAAGGTGGCAACTCCGCCCACATGTCCCAACTCATAATGGAGCTGTGCGTAACAGCGTGGTTGTGAAATGCCAAATAGTTATGACGTGACGACTGACAAAATGGTCGTAAAATTCGAGAATAGGCCAAAGGCAACAACATTTCACGAACACGCCAGCCGTTTGTAGGAAAAGTGCGCAAAACCCAGCCTCCATTGGCAACACATAAATGCTGCAATATTGATGAGATTCTTAGATTCTTTTAAATAGCTGTTGGGTTGTAAAAAAAAAACATATTTTTCACGAGATTTATTTGGAATGCAATTTTATAAATTTGTATGCATCGATGTTTTGTTGTGATTTATTGGAATACAATCGAAGGTTATTTGGCTACTTTGCTTACAACCCTACTATGAAGTTTAGAAACTAATAGCCACTTATAACAGTAAAAACATTTTAACACTAATTAACTAGTTTTCTTGGCGTAGGTTAAGGAACTTAAAGATATTTTAGGTATAAAGTCCCTTTCTTGGCCTAGAAGTGGCAAAAACTCTCCTTAAATATTCAGTAAACTGAACGAATTTTCTAGAAAACGTGTCCGGCTAAGGCGGGTGTCCATTAAGAGAGTTTTCACTGTATATATAAATGCAATTTTAGGAAAATTAAATTAGCACTTTAGATGTAACTAATTAGATGGTCTATGGAAAAAAGATACAGCCTAACACTCGATATATTCAGCAACGGTGAGAGAAATAGTTATTGGTTCAGCATCTATGTCTTTCGAATTCTTGTTTATTGCATTGCCTTTTATAGGATGGGACAGACACATAAAGCTTTAGCCAGCATGAATCTCACATAAATCGGGACACTAAAACAACTAGCTGCCATTAGAGGGAACAGTAAAACGCTTGTATTTGTACGTGAATAGGGGTTTTTTTATAGAGATTGTATAGAGTAATCAATTTTCTAAATGCGGACTAACAAACTGAGCAAACAAACTAAAAGTATGAGCGACAACTAACGAATTAAAACACTATTGGCAGAGTTTTCGCACACTTTTCGGTGTTTGTTAGCACTTTTTGTGCACGTTGTGGCAACGTACTTTTAACGTTGCAGAGGTAAAAATTTTTTTTACATATATATGTATCTGTAGTCTTCATCCAGAAAAACAGCTATTATTAACTCTAAATTCACAAATCGCCGTTTGCAACATCAGGTGAGTAAAATATTGAAGAGATTGTGTGGCAGTTGTGTGATGTGAAAATGTTTCTTTCGACTTAAAGCGCCTTTAGATAAAGAAAAATGATTCGAATTCGCGAACGCTCGCATAGTGTGCCCTCCAAGTTACGGGTGTCCGACCACGATGATGATGTTTCTGTAGCGGCCCTAGCCTTGGCTGGTCTTCGACTGAGCGGCAAGGTGAACCGCGTTATAGGAAATTTAGCCGCGGATATTAGAAATGAAAATATTGATGCAATAGGAAACAATGTAGTGTTGGAAAATACATCGGCAGCTTGTAATAAAAAGCACGATAATCTTGCGGCCGCAAAAGTCGAAGCTAAAAATGGCATATTGGGCTTAGCAGTCTGTCGCAATAGCCTGAAGCGCAAGTTTGCAGATGCCGCGTATTGTGGAGTGGAGATTGAAGATGGAGTGAATTCTTCAAACAGTGCTAAAAAGAAATTGGATTTTGGAGAAGTATAGATTTCTGAGATATCGCATAGCATATCGCAAGCTATGAAAATGTCCGCGCAACAATTACTCCGAACCGTAGCCGCAGGACCAGATGAAGAATATTCTAAACATTTTTATATACATCAGAATTGTTTACAAAATTATTACTTCTGCATAATTAAAGGCGTGTCAGTGTTATTCTTGTGTGTCCATGGGTTAAACAATTTGAAAATTGACGCCAGAACGGGTCAGAGAGAGGGAGAGAGAGAGAGAGAGGGAGAGAGAGAGAGAGAGAGAGGGGAACGGCCACTAAAATGAAAATGCGAATTCCCCATTTGGCTGTCAACCGAAATGCGATTCTAACCGCAAATCTCACAACTCGCTGCCAATTGGAAATGCATTCGCATAAATAAATTGGAGAGCTGTGGCAGTGACAGTCTCGGTCCTTTGGAGGCTTTAACTTTGTCGACATTGAGCGACCCCATTTGCTAACCTGGACCCCCCAGCAGAACCCAGGACGCCCCAATGACTTCATTAAGGGAGAATTAAATCGATTGTTCTATGATCGAGATAACTAAGACAATGTCGGGCACTTGGCAGCAGCTGCTGGTGGCGCAAGTGGACGAGAAGGACATGGATGTGGATGCGGAAGTGGACGTGGACGCGCACGCCTGGGCACAAAGTGCAATGGCAAATGTTGACATTTCGTGCTATTGTTGTTGTTGTTGTTGTTGTTACTACTGCTTCCTTAATGCTGCTATTCCTGCTGTCTCGATAGTTGGATGGCTTGCTTCGGCCTGACGCTGACGCTGAGGCTGATGCTGAGGCTGATGCTGACTCTGGTCCTGGCTCTTGGCTCTACATCTTCGTCTGTGTCTGTGTCGCATTTGTGCGCTAGATTTTGTTTTTATTATGATTATTTTAGCTGCTAAGGCAAAGGCAAACACACAGTAGCAGCAGCAGCAGAAGTAGCAGTAGGAGCCAAAAGGATCAGTGGACCAGCAGCAGACATGAAAAGCGAGCAGCGTAAAATGCAATTTTCACACAACGCGGTTTGTTATTTGGGGCAAGGGGCACGAGCTTTGGCTAGGGCTTGAGCTCGAAGCTGTCAAGTAAACGTTGCCGAGCAGCGGCAGCAAAGAAATAAAATGAATTTTGTGTCGAGGCAGAGACAACAACAGCAACAACACCAACAAGTGAAATGCAATAAAACAAAAAGGCAACAACGCCTTGTCTTCTTCAGCTGCGTCGACTACCCCACCCTCTTAAACATCGCATCGCATCCACTATACTTATGCGCTTGTAACTGCAGTAAACTCCCTTCCCCCTCCCTCTCCTCTCATCCAGCTTTTCTCACACTACTCGCATCCTTTCACTTTTGGGTGCAATGGCAACGCATTTACCAGCGCAATGATTCAAATTGTCGCCTTGGATTATGGATTTATTGCGCGTCTCGTTTTTGTAAGCGTTGCGCGACTTCAACTTCCCCAACAACCCCCTGATCCCTTCCCCCATTCCCCATTCCCCATATCCTTGCCCCCCCCCACGAACTCTACTATCGACTGCAATTGTGCATGCTGTTCGCAATTACTAACATTGCGGGCAAGTGTCTAGGACGAGGACGAGGAGAAGGACGAAGATGGAGCCATGCATGTGCTCCTGTCTTTACCAGCACTCTATCCGGCTGCTCCTCCCCTCTGTCCAGCGACAAAGGATAGAGCACACTTTTAGCCATAAAAACATTTATATCGAATTGGAAAATGTGTCACTAATTCGCGTTGACAATTTTTGGCTAAGCTTTTTCGTCGTCGTGCGCGGTTTTGTTCGCCATACCAGACTTGCTATATTCTCTTGGTGTGGAGCAAGCATCCCAATCGCCCTGCCGCCCTCCCATCCCCAACACCACATGCCTTGGCATGGCACTAAATAATTCAAATGGACCAAGAGGACAAACACATTTACATAAGTCCCATTTAAGCGCATCAAAGGAAAAAGGACTATTGCTAGTTCGATAAACTAGTGGAGGAAGCGCTTTCCTCTTAATGACTGCGTGATATATTCACCGATTCAGTAACTAATCAATTATCAGCAGACTGCTCGGGTCAAATGAGAACTACTTTCACTTTCCACATGCCCTACATAAGTGCCGACAGGGCGTATTGCCACTCGTTGTTCGAGCCGGTCCCCACAAAAGGCTCAACTGCCTAAAGATCAAAATATTACTAATGTCAGGCAACAAATTTAATTACAATTCATACATAGATCTCGAAACATTTGAATATTTTCCCACAAACTATTAAAAAGAGATTACAATTCTCGATGACAATTAATGGAAACAGTCTCATTTATCGGGTCATCAAACACATAATTGAATTTGTGAGTACATTCCAAATCTGTTGAACCATTTACAATATTATTTGGAATAAAATATTAATGATTTTAAAGCAAAGTTATTACACAACATTGCTTTTTTAATATAAAAGATATAGACTATCATTGAGCAATTTGTATTTGTATGCTGTATTCTGTAAAACCCTACACCGAAGAGTGAGAGTTAATATACACTCTCTAAAGTCTAAGCACCAAGTGTAAGTAACAGAAAACAGAAGGAGATGTAAAACCAGAAAACATGAAGAGACGAATCGATGTCCGTCTGTATGAACCTCGAGAGCTTTTCAACCATAACAGCTAAGCACACCAAACTTGATATTTAGATTGGTTTAAATCAGTTAAATATAAAATATAGCTACAAAGATAATTTTATTACAAAAGTGCATGTAACAAAAGGCAGAATGAGATGAAAAACTAATCAACATGAAGAGACGAATTGATGTCCGTCTGTATGAACCTCGATAACTTTTCAATCTAACACAGCCATGCACACCAATCTAGATATTTAGATGTGTCTTATCTAAGTATCTAAGTATCCATAGCAATTTTTTTTTACAAACTATGTATAGGTTTATTTTTTTTTTATATAGCAGTTATCATATAATAACTTTTTCGTTTATGAAGAGCTCTTTAGCAAATCTGGTATAAATAATTGGATCAAAATCGGTTAAATACATATATTATACAGCTGCAAAGATAATTTTATTTGAAATGGATGGATCCAGAGCCGGTCTAGCACGATTTTAGCGTTCTATGTACTTGTTGTTTTCTAATAGTATGATTTTCGCATACAACTTCGGTTTGAACAATCATCATCATCATCAGGTTTTTTTTTAGAAATTTAAACTTTGGCACACGCTCGTAAAAGCGAGACTTTGAGAAGGAAACACGAATGTTGCTACCCGGTACTTAGTTCAAGTTTAGGTCTTAGTCATGACTTGTACAAATAAGATGTCGTGTCTCAGTACTACCGGGTATTGAGTATTCTCTTACCACTTACTGCTGACCCTTACATCACAAACGGGCCAAAAGCTTATGAGGCCAATTTGTTGTTGTTGCTGTTGCTGTTGCCGTTGTTGGTGATGGTGTTGGAGTGGCCGGGAGGCCAAGGCAACAGTAGCAGCGACAAAACATTTGAAAGCTTTCGTAATTATTATTATGTATTATTTTGTATACACAGATAATTGTTGTCACCAAAAAAGCAAAAGCAAAAACAAAACTGCAAATAACAACAACATTGTGCAATATGTTGCTGTTGGTGTTGCTGTTGTTGTTAGTGTTGTTGCATTGTGACTAAATTGCTGTTGACAATGCTGACATTTCAAATTTAGACGTTGCCTGACTGTTGACCGCACATTAAAATTCGCTTTTTGTGTGCCACGACAAGTTAACGTCATCCAACATGCAACAAAAACAGCATGCCCCTCTCGCCCCACTGCCCCCCTCCCCCCTCCTGCACTCTCTTGCCATCGAGCAACCCATTGAACTTCGCTCATTCACTTTTCTCGCTACATTTTGTTTATTTTGTTAATTGTCTGCGTTGTTGCCAACAAAAAGGCAAAGAAGCGCTTTGCACATAAAATTATGTAAAAAATTATTAGAAGAATTTCCGTTTCGCAAAAACGTGTCAAAAATGTTTACAGCAGCAGCGGCAGCAACAGTTTCACAGAGCGACATTGTGCGGCGCAACTCTTGAAACTGGCTGGGGGGTTGTAACAGGTGGCAAGTGGCAGGCGGCGGGTGCTGCACGACCTACCGGGGAAGATGCAGCAACGGCAGCCAGACACAGCCATAGCCATAGCCGTAGCCATAGCCACAACAATGGCGGCAGATTAATTAACGTCTGAGCGATAAAGCACGTTGGAGTCGAAGGCGCAAATGTAGACGAACATCGTCGAACAAAACGTGAGTTTTGGTGAAAATGCAAAATGCAACAAAGAAGCTGAATTCGAAAGGCAGACAGGCAGACAGACAGGCAGACGCGCAGACGCTGGCAAAATGTTTCACAAATACCCGAACTGCAAACAAAGCGGAAGTAAAGAGCCAACTAATCAAAAAGAAAAAAAACTTACAATAAATTTAAAAACAATTTCCAGAATACGCTTAAGCTTCTTTTTCTTTTAATGGAACCTCAGCCGAATAAAGGAACAACTTTTCTTTATGTGTGCCGGCCAAAACATCAATCAGACCCATTTTGAAATGCTTGTAACACTCTACTATTTATATTCTACTTCTATATTCTCATTTAACGATATGGCGCCGTTTGTAGCTTCAAATTGCAGATTTTCGATCATTTAAGCAGAAGAAGAGAGAACAAGAATAAATTATATAGAATTCAGGGAAAATCATGCAAAAATAAAGGTGTATTAGGAAGTAAAGAAGAACATAGGTAATCAAAAGAAAAAGTAACAAGAGAGAGCGAACAAGCCCGACAGTGAAATACTCTATATCCAAACAAACTTCGGCCCATAACAGAAGCAAAAAGACGGAGAAGAAGAGCAAATCTGCTCCTAAAATAGTTTCGCTTATAACTTTTATAAGAACTGAACAATTTCGATGAAATTAGAAACAAAAGAAGATAATTATTAAGATTAATTATGAAGCATTGGAATTATGGGCAGTGCTGACGAAATTCGGTAGATTAGGAAGGGTACTAACGAAAAATTAAAAAAATTTAAATAAACTACTATTGCCTGGAAATAAGGTGAGTCTACAAACCAAGTTTGTTCAATGTGGGCTCAGTCGTTTCCGAAATCCAGGCGTTCATCCAGACAGACGCCCGCCTGGCCATATAGATGTTTGTGTTTCCTTCTCCCTTTTTACCTTCCGGGACAAGGTATAAGAAGTATGCGAACTCAAGCCACATGAGCTTAGCGTCCATCAAATATGTACTGTCATGAGCCATATATGTATGTATATAGTAAATATACATATGTATATATACCAGGTATATGGTATATAGTATGTTAAGGTCGAAAGAGCACGTTCGCTTAATTTATTTGCGAAAAGTGTTTATTGACTGATTTGGTCAATACTTGTCTCAGCTACAACTTGAAGCAATGATGTGGCATCAATGATGCGTGCCACGACGACGGCTTGGTTCGTGAAACATGCAACCAGAGCGCGCACAGCAGTAGCCCCAAACTGAAACTAATAATAGCATATGTCAGACCCTAATGGACTCTCATCAAAGTGTTGCGGGCAGCCGCAAACAGCATTTGAGGCAGTCAGCCAATCAAATGCCGCAACGACGCGTCGTCGCTGCTTGCAACCAAACTGCCAGTTGTCGTGCGGTTCCTCGGCGGAAAAACTGGCCAAGCTTTCATGATAAATGAAGGCAATTGCCATGGCGTGTGGACGTCGTTGTCCATGTTCCACGCTCCATGCTACATGCTTCCAGCTCCCAGCTCCTTGCCCCACCTCGCCCCACACTCGATGGAGTCGGACAGCTCAGACATGAGCAATGGCAAATCGCGGGGCGCTGATTTATCTAACGTGTCGCAAGCAGCGACAGCGACAATGTAAAAGCGTCGGGAACTCGCTTCGGTTCGGTTTGGTTCGGAACGGATCGGTTTGGCTTGCCACTCCGATGGCAGCGAGGAGTTCTAGTTGTCTCTGTAACTGTCTAGTATATACGCTGTCCGATGGCCTTCTCTTCACTGAGAAATGACGTCTAGACGTTTTTTGTTTTCCACCCAAAACAATGACACGTTCCCTCAAATGTGGGCAGCCTGGAGTGGGCCAATCATTGTTGAATGATTGCGAATGCTGGCTGCTTAGTTGATTGGCTCGCTTTAAAGAGTTACTTCTTGAATGTTTGAAATGTTTTTTCATATTTTTATTACGCAAGTATGTATGTTTCCTACTCTTATTTCATGTTCGCATCACTTTGCTTAATTTTCGCCGGCCCTGGCATTTTCTCTCTGGTCGTGTTTTACTTTTTACCTAGCAAACTAAATACCTGTATAAATATTTTATTACGCAAATGAAACAAGCATTGTTTGCATTTTATTTGTACCGAGGAAACGTTGGTAACTGCGGCACATCCTGCAGCAGGAAAGCGGTTTCTAAAATAAGACCGAAGAAAAGACAAAAAAAAAGAGAAAAAGAAAAGCAAAGCAAAAACATGGCAGAGCGTAACCAAATGAAATGGCAGCACAAAGGCGACAGTGGCGCCAAAAAGAAATCAACGAGCGAACAGCAAGTGGGGGGTGGCGGTGTGTGTGTGTGTGACGTGGCATCAGGCAGGACGTTCATTTACATGCAAAGCGTCGGCGTTTGTTGGCCAACAGCAGCACCACAGGATGTGCAAAGCAAAATGCAAAGATTTCTTCTCACGGCAGCAACACAGTGTCGTGTCCAGTGGCAGGACTTGGGGTCCAGCAATGCTTTCATGCAGAAACAGAACAGCATTCATGTGAGGTGAGTGCTGCAGCACCTACCTGCCTACCTACCTACCTACCTACCTATTCCCTTGGCCCCCCGACTGATGGCCTAATGAATTAAGAGCGAATGCTCATGGCATATGAAATACGAGCAGGTTCAACAGCTCCAGCTGCTCCCACCCGATAAGGGGAAGTAAAATATAGCATACAGAGTAACTTTTCCTTATTTGATTATGCAGCTTAAAACTTTAGCAGCAACTAATCCGATTGCGAGTGTTTAGCAAATTGAATAATTGCTTTTGTTCTACAAATAGTTCCTGGACTCTCGACCAGCCAAGTATAGTCTTGATCGTCCAAGATTATAACCTCATCCATCACTCAGCATGCAAATTGTTTTTATAAAATACTAATAAATTGTGCTTCTTTTATAATTTACACCCATTTATATTTCACGCAAGCTCAAGCACAATCTTATAGATATTTTAAAACATAAAGGAATACATTCGGCAATAAGTATTTCGACAAGTTAAGTAATTGGGTCTCTCTAAGCATTGTCTAGATGTGCTTATTTATGTCTTCAAGGTAGAGCCAACGATTTACTTACTTACTTACTATACTAGTTGGTCATCTATTATTAACACATTTTCCAATAAATATGTAAATCGATTTTATTTCAAATAATTTCCGAATTCTTCAAGCTGTATTCTGTCATCAAAGTATGATGGGGAATTCTTTTATTATAGCTTTGAGATTAAATTGATGAGCCATCAGTAACTTATTAATCCATTGCTTATTAAAGGTGTTGAAATGAACACAATTTCGATTTTAACAATATTGATTGATTTTTGATTCATACATAATCCTTTAATAGATTTTCAATTATTAAGAGTTGTGTAAGAGTTAATGAACCTCTGAGTTATTAAATTAAAGTATTTTTTTCAATCATTACTTTATAAGCAATGTTCAAAAATTCAAAGTATTAATCATACATAGTTGCATACCAATTGTAATTAGTTGAGAGCTACTACTATTCTCTAAATTAAAGAAATGCCTTATAAACACATGTCCAGAAAGAAAGAAAAAATTGTACGGACATTTCAGGGCGTACAAGATTACAGGGCTTGTACAAAAATATAGTGTCCTTTATCTGAATGAGCACATATTGCATTTTAAATAAATAGAGGAAATATGGAAGGCAACAAGATTTTGGAAAGAATTGTACGGAAATTTCTTAGTATCCAGATTACAGGTCTTGTACAAAAATATATTGTCCGTTATCTGAATTAGCACACATTGGATTTTAAAAAATTGAAAAAATATGGAAAATATGAATCTTGTCTATAAAATAAGTCCAAGCTGACAGGAACAGCTTGTCTGCAATGCAGCTACCCTGAATGCCTCGTTGTTTCGGTGTCCATATAAAGTGGAAAATAAATCGATCTGGACATACCCGTCTGTCTGGATGAACACTTGAATTTTGGAAACAGCTCAACCAAGCTTGGAATGTGGAGTCCCCTTACTTCGCTTCAGATTGCCAATATTGTCTAATGGCTCAAGCTCAAATACACAAGTAATTTGTATTTAACAGGCATTTTAATTCGGTTTGCTCTTGAAAAGTTATTAGTGAAACTATTTTACTCTGTTAAATCGTTTGGTCTTCTTCTTTCTGTTTTTGCGGTCGTAGTTTGTTTTTGGGGGTCTATTTTTATAAAGTCCAGCACAGCTAGAGCTCGTTAAGTGATCCGAATTTTTAGTGAGAAAACCCACTTGGCAGTTCTAGTAATTACTAGACATTAGCTATAATTTGAGATGGATTCAATAATACTTAATACTTTGTTCTATTTATACTGGATGCATGTGTATATATTAGACTATATTCTGGTCTTCTGTAGGTTTTCTTTCGCTCATTTCGCATACTTGTGTGAATATATAATACAATACATTATATATAAAAGTCCGTGCTTTTCCAATTAGCTTAAGGACGTTCGCATAAATCAACACAATACGCAAAGCAGCTAACGTTTTATGTTTATGGCAATGCTTGAGATTTTCGGTTCTGTGAACGAATCTATTGAGTGCACTCCCTTCGTATTTATTGGCCTGGCCAATACTGTATTGTAATTATTTCAAGGAGGTGCCACTGAGTTCAATGTACTTGGCCAGTGAAACAGATCGTTCTGGCCAATTGGTCAGTGGCGATTGAAGGGCGTTAATTGCCGCAAATTAGAGCTGTCAGCCTCAGTCCCATTCTCTGTCTCAACTTTTGCACAACCCAGATGTGGGGCTGCTCTTAATCAATACCGATTGCTGCTGTGGTGGGAGCCCAGCAGGCTGGATACTCCATCGTAGTAGTCTGGGCAGGGAGTGTTAAGGCGCTAACAAATTTCAAGTGAACACAGACTCCACTATATATGTAATATTAATACATAAACAAATACATACGTAAATGTACAAATTTTAGTTCAACAGAAGTAAGTTTGTCGATCGATAGTCGATGGTCCGTAATCGCGCTTACCGATAACATTTCATTGCAGTGTTGCCAGGCTATAATCTAAACAACAACGAGATCCATTTGCTCATACATTGGATTAATAGTGCGCTCAAAGGAGCCGCAACGTGCACCGATCTGGAGCAGCTGCGCGATGGTGTTATATACTGTAAGCTATTGGTCACACTGCATCCTGGCGCATTAAGCAAGGATTTGGTTATTGAGCAGTGCAGGAATGCCAGCGACTTTATGCACAACTACCTGCTGTTGAGGGCAGGCTTCGATAATGCCCGAATTCGTTGGAATTTCGAGGTGAAAGATTTGATTGACGGCCGCATGAACGAGATGGTACGTCTGGCCAAGTTCTTTGTCTATCTGTTTGGCATGCAGCAGAAGGCAGCCGATGCGGCAAGTATGCTGCCCACACCTCTGCCGCCACGAGACAACGAGGCGCGTAAACCAGAGTCCAAGTTGCCCAAGCTCTATCATGTGCTTGACCATAGCTTTCCCCTTCCACAGCCGGTGCTAATGTGCGATGTACCCCGTATGGCCCAACCGGCGCCCACAGGCAACCGAAGGACCTTCACACACACCTTCCACACTGATCACTCGGTCAGCGTTAATGCAGTCTGTGACTGTGCACATCGGCAGCATTGGTCCTATACACCCCCCACTGGAACGCATTTCAAGCAGCAGCAGCAGCAACAGTCTAAGATGGGCCCCAATGGCCAGCAGGGGCGTGAGAAACAATGAGGGCTCGAGAGAGCTGCTCCATAACTCACCCTCCCATTGGTTACATAATGTATGAACTGATAAAGCTAGAGATTAAGCAAAATAATAGCTTTGTCCGGAACATGATTATTAATATTTCATTATTATTTCATCGTCTGTCGAATGCAGGCTGCCCTGTTCTCTAATATCTATTTCCAAAAGTTGCTTATTGGTGTTGTAGACTAGACTCTCCTGCCGCAGTAGGTCGTTTACTGTTCTTCTGTGTTTTGTAGACTAAGTAGGAACTATTTAATCTATATGGCATATATGTAGATATTGTAGTAAAAGGAGACTAAGTAGGAACTATTTAATCTATATGGCATAGATATTGTAGTAAAAGCTGACTAAGTAGGAACTATTTAATCTATATGGCATATATGCAGATATTGTAGTAAAAGGAGACTAAGTAGGAACTATTTAATCTATATGGCATATATGTAGATATTGTAGTAAAAGGAGACTAAGTAGGAACTATTTAATCTATATGGCATAGATATTGTAGTAAAAGCAGACTAAGTAGGAACTATTTAATCTATATGGCATATATGTAGATATTGTAGTAAAAGGAGACTAAGTAGGAACTATTTAATCTATATGGCATATATGTAGATATTGTAGTAAAAGGAGACTAAGTAGGAACTATTTAATCTATATGGCATAGATATTGTGGTAAAAGGAGACTAAGTAGGAACTATTTAATCTATATGGCATATATGTAGATATTGTAGTAAAAGGAGACTAAGTAGGAACTATTTAATCTATATGGCATAGATATTGTAGTAAAAGCAGACTAAGTAGGAACTATTTAATCTATATGGCATAGATATTGTAGTAAAAGGAGACTAAGAAGGAACTATTTAATCTATATGGCATAGATATTGCAGTAAAAGGAGTAGCTGGTCGATATAGCTTACGAGACAGAACTGTGTCTGACCTGTTTTATTCAGCTCTTTTTACAATATACAATTCTATTAGCATTTTCTGCAGATTGCTTAAGTCTGTTCTTAGCTTTTAATACATTCGTTTTATCACTACAAGGTATAGAACGTTATTCAAGAAATAGCTCTGTCTATAACAACTTCAAGAATATTATTTGTTTGTTGAAAAAAAAAGAGTTCTAATGTAGACGTAGATTTCAATTGAATTTTAAGAGCTGAACCAACTGTCTTTGGAATGTCGGATCTTCCAAGTTGATGTTTTCTTTCGAAAATATGATTTTGATTCTCCCTGTCCTTATCCTGCTGCCCGAACACACACAGTCGAGTGTGGCTTCCTAATTGCTTTCTGAGACGCTGCTTTCACTTTTCGAGCACTTTGTGTTCTTTCTGTTCCTAGCCTTAGAATCTGTTGCAAGATATGTGCACCTCTACCTGTAGCTGTGTGTGTGTGGCTTTATTCAGGTCACTGGACATGCTAACAACAGGAACAACAAGTCAACAGTGGGGCAAGGAGGCGAGGAGTCGAGTCTCTAACTCGACTGCGACACGTCGGAGGCAATCAAAACGAGGCGGCTCAAGTGACGTCGCATATAAAGATCCTTGTGTACGAGTAGTGTATCGAATGCGCAGCGATAAAAACAAAAGTGAAGGGAGCTGAACAGAAGAGAAAATGCGGTGAAAAATTGCTGGAAAAAAAATATTGTATGTACATCTAGAAAACATTGCGCATACGTCGCGTGTGCCGTTGCTGTTGGACGTTGCGTTTATAGTCGTTGAGGAGTCGCAACTGAGAGTGGAGGCAGTGGAGGTGGCAGGGGAGGCAGGAATGGCAGTGGAGGTGGAGGTGGCAGTGAAAGGCGGGTGACAGCACTCTACAAACCACGCTCGCTGTACGTTTGCTTAGCAAATGATGAAAAATAACGTAGAGGCGTTGCTGCCAACATTTGCCAAAAGTGCTAGAGATGGCAACTTTCTTATCTACATATATGTGATATATATCAGTGGTTCCGAATCGAGTGGAAACTGGTCCTAGTCTGAATAATTTTTTTCATTATTATTCAGTTATAATTGGAGATAGTTATGTTATGGGCAGAAATATGTGAAGAAATCCAGTAATGCCTCTTCTTCTATCTTCTTAAATTATTTCAATTAAAATTGAGTCAGCAGAAATGAGCAATTTCTGCATGCTATATCCAATCAAAAAGTTCGATATTAACTATCCGTAGCCTACACTCGAAAAAAAAAACAAACCACAGCTATACTAGGAATATTTCTTTCAAGAAAAAACTCCAATACCTAAGCACTTTTTTTTAAACTTTTCCATAATGTTTTATACTTTTTTGTTGCCTAATTGTGTCTCAAGAGAAAGGGCGAAATCGATGTCATCGCTGGAGCGAATAAAGTATGTTAAACAAAATCTAAAGTAGTTGCTTTCTATGTTGCAGATCAACCGATTAATAGAGTAATGCGGATTATTTATTTATTAGTAATATTTCTCTCTTGCAACAACAAATGCCACATAAAATATTGGCAATACTCTTTCTGCAGCTCAGCTTTTCAGAGAAAGAAACTAAAGGATTTTTGAAGATAATATCTGGTAGGACTGTCATAAGGCAGTTAGAAACGGTACAGTGCCGCTTCCCTCACTAGCCGGTAAATCGGAACTTGTGTATGTATGTACATATATATATATATATGTATATATATATGTGTGTGTATATAGACAGATACATACAGCAGTCTATGCTTGTACAAGTATCTATGCACTCGCATAGATAGTCGTCTGTCTGCTGCGTCCGCCTCTCTGCTGTCTGCTGTGCGCTGCTGCTGTCAGTCTGTTTGTTTTGGGCTTTCGGCTTTTGGGCTAAACAATCACATAGGCGGAGGAGACAGCAACAACAGTAACAACAACAACAACAACAACAACAACAACAGCCAACGATTGCGACTGCGATTGCTATTGCGATGATGGTGACGCGAGAGTCGTGTTGGAGGCCAAAATCGAAATTGGGCTAATGAAATGCTTGTTAAGTGAAAATGAATTCGCCCAGTTGGCGACATGACTGCGCATGTTTGAACAAGCCAGGCCGAGACTTGGCAATTAATGAGCACTGGCAACTGAAATGAAAAGAACTGCAGCAGCAGCAGCAGCAACATCAGTTCAGATGTGGGTGGAAATGTGAATACGAAATGGATCTAAATGTGGACATAAGATTTATTTACATGCCTTAATTATGCTTCACTGCGTTTCTAGAATTTTCCAATTAAACAAACAATTGTCGATGCGTACATTTGTTTCTTTGTGCTCTGCGTGCAATTATTTAACATTATTTGCCTTTGTTGTCCGTTCTTGTTTATTTATGTACATACATACTCGTATGTACTCGAATGCTGCTACTGTCATATTAAAATGACTTTTAGTTTTTTGGTTTCCTATGGCATTTATTTATTTGCACCTACATTGTATGTGTATGCATACTTGTACAAATGGATGGATGGATGCATGTGGATAGATACTACAAGTATACATATTTATAATTTTCCCCTCTTTTCGGCACTCAAACAATTTTGATTTGTTGTTTATGCAACGTATGTATTTGTTGATTTGCCATGCACATTAGGCAACAATAGTGCGACTACGAATATAAATGGCAGCCACATTTTCAAGCCAACTGTGTGAAGGTTCGACTCCAAATGTGGCATGTGCTGCTGACCAACCAACTGTCCCTTCTTCGGGTCATGGTAGTACGTAATGTGTAATTGACAAATTATAAAAATATGTGTGCTACGATTGCGCAAAAAAAAAAATATAGAAAAAAAATACCAGCAGAATTATGTAACTGCTTAGAAAACACAAAGATTGTGCCCTTGAAGCCCATCGAGGAGAATCAGCAATAGAATCTCATTAGGCACTCAAATGAATTTGGCAGTAGCACCATGACTGACAAATTCTTCAACAATTCAACATTGATTATGCAATTGGAATCAAGGATCTTTGCTGTTTCTTATTTGTCCTTCACAGCAAACGTTTATTTTTTTGGAATTTTTCTTTTGAAGCATGCCGATAGAAGATTTTTCTGCTGATTGACAATTCTTCTATAGTCAGAAGATAAATCCAGCCGCAGAAGCACTAGGTCGGGACAGGCTATGTGATGCATATACATATCTACAAGAAGGGTTCATTTTTCAATCAACACTTTTTGTTACCTCTATAGCAGTGCTCTTGTAGAATACCTATAGAATAGCTACCATAAGAACGATCTGTGCAATTTGTTTGTTTAGAGAGATATTTAAAACCCATATGTAAAACCGTTTAGTTTTATATACTTCCTCTTTATATTCTGAAAATTCAGCCAAATCGGTGCTTGGGAAAAGCATGGGTATAGGGCATTCAAGAGTCGAACAGGCACGACCTTTACGTTTTTTTAAAATGAAAAACTCATTCACTTATAGTATTTTTGAATAAGCGAGGATTATACCAACATCCCTTTTCTAGGATTATTTTCTTTTTTTCGTTTCGTTTCGTTTTTCATTAATTCTCTCACAATATAATGATTAATTTTGAGTTATAGTTTACAGCGTAACCATCAGTGAGTCCAGGCGACTCATAATAAAAACATTTTGAAGTTTAAAAGTATTTCTTTACAACACTTTTTTTGTGAAAATTATTTATTTTAAATTTTTTTGGCTAAATTGTAATATTATCCATTATTCGTTAAATTTTACTTAACCATCAGTGAGTCTAGACGACCCTAAATAATAAATAAATTTTTAAGTTTAAACATATTTCTTTACAAACATTTTTTGTGAAAAATATTTTTTTATTTTTATTTAATTCAATTTTTATGATTCTATTTTATTATTATCCATTATTTGTTTAATTTTACTTGAAATACTTAGATTATTCGTAATGGTTAGACCCCATAAATGATGGACCACATTTGAAAAAATTCTTTCTCAATTTTAAAAAAGTTTTCTCTTCATATCTTTCGCTTTTATTTAGGGTTCATAAAAAGATGCCCCAAAGAATAACTCTAAGACACTTTGCGTCTGTTTCAGAGAAATCCAGCTTGATGTGCATTCTGAATTTGCTTTAAAGAGGCTCGTCTGTACTATAGTATGTAATTGAAGAATCGAATGCAATATTGA